GAGAGAGAGAGAGAGAGAGAGAGAGAGATGCCACTGCAAGTACACACAGCGTGTGAAGCGAGAGAGGGCTGCGGTGTGCTGCAGACCTCGATCTAGCCCGAAACCTAGCAACATGCATGTGTAATGTGTCATCAACGATGTCAAGCGCACGAGAAACTGCCTTTCAATTGACAAAAAATATGAAATAATCCAGGCTGTTGACAAAAAGCAAGCTCCACTGGCAGAGATTTGTCGTTACTTTGACATTCCACAAGGGTCGATTCACACCATTATCAAGGATAGAGCAAAGATAGTGGCAGTATACTCCAATGGAAAGTTTGCTCTGGATCGGAAGAAGATGAGACTGGAAAGAAGATGAGACTGCCCGATGCAGATGCTGTGGACCAAGCTCTTCTGATGTGGTTTAAGGAGGCAAGGAGAAATTTAATTCCAAAACCCCTGTTCGTGGGTACTTGTGGCAAGGGAAACTACCCATGAATAAGTACAGGTGGATTAGTCCACAATAAATGCTTACTTTCCTTGCATTTCTGATTTAACAGGGATCGGATGTAACCAGACATTTTCTCTACTCCCACCATCCCTGTTATATCAGGTTTCCACTGTACATGTATTGCTGATAAAATATTTCATGTGTCTGTGCTGCTCAAGACTCAAGACAGTCTCATTACTGCTTTTGTAAGCAACTCGGAGGCCAGTTTGGCAATCAAGGGATGCTATATTCGCTCTTAGGGCAGTCGATGGATTTGCCCAGCGGACTGACGTCATCGCTCTACCCGCCGTGTTCGTTTGTCCTCGTACGAAGTTTCGCGACGTGACGGCTTGACGGGAGACGATTTAAAGTTACGAGCCGGTGCGATAAACAAAGGTGAAGGAATGAGACTCTGTCGCGACAAAACAGCAGTGAATCCCACTTTTTTTATTTGAGCGCCTTCAAATCGGCAAGGTGCTTTTTGAATGTTGATACATGTTTGTTCGGATTTACTAAAACTGAATGAAAGTCATCTGCAATAAATCTCTTGTCAACAGTCCAGCTGACAGTTAACAAACCGCCCCTGATCCTCTGTCTTTCTATACACAGGCAGGACTCAGTGCCGATAGCTGCTCTTACTTTCATTTCTCTGCCTGTCTCGTCTTGTGATGTTAAGGGTTTTGCGGAGAAATTTCATTTCGCATGCGGTGATTTTGCTTTCATGGGTTTTGCTTAAAGTCCAGGTCTGGCACTGATACATAATGTTGCCTATGAATATTGAGGTGATGCTGTCTCTTTGTGTCCATGGAGATGTTTGGATGAGATAGGAGGGGTGCCAGCTGATAGGTGACAGCGTTGACTTTTTGAGTTTGCTTTTAGATTCAGATACCAGGTAAGTCTGTATTTGATGATTTAGAGTTGAAATAAGCTCTCCTGATATCTTTATTCATGATATTTTGCAAAGAGACGAAGTGTTCATCACAGCTTTACTTTACACTTTACTTTCCTCTTTGAGGGTAGGCCTTCTACTTTAATAAAAGAAATCTTTATTGCCTTGGCCCTAGACTAGCCTACCTGCATAAAAATTGAACTTTGATCTATTATTATTACCAAGTTTAAGGTCTGCTGACTGGCTAGTATTGCTGGTAAACCCAAAGTCTTAAAATAGCCTCACCATTAAAAGAATAATCACAGTGACTATGTTCACGGGGCCCTGAATCATTCACCATTGCTACAGAGGCACGACTAAAACCCTACGGTCGCTCAAAGTGAATGAGGTAATGCCACAGGAATACTCAATGCAAAATAATGCAGCGGTGGTCCAGATGAATGCAATGGAGTTTTCGGAGGGCGAAGGCAGGCACAGCAAATCAGCTGCGATTGACAAGGCCTCCTCGCTCACTCAGCGCGCGGAATACGACTTCGATCCTCTTCCCATGTGCGCACCCGGCAACGCTCGACAGTTTGACAATAAAAGTTATTTGAAGAAAGATGGAGAATTGAAGACGGCCAAGAAGTAAAAAAACTCCTCTCTCAACAAAATGTTAATCTTGTACAGTCGTACAGCTGATATTTTCTTTGAAATTTAAGAGGTTCAAATGCAAGCTGAAAATTTTATAACATATCTACCTACTACGGTACAAAGTAGACAGAAAACTGTTGAGTTTCTACTGTAAAAAAAGAATCAGATCTTTAGGTTCGATTAGGTAAGAAACGGGAAGAGGCATATAATATATAGTAGGCCCTACTCACCCAGCGAGTGATGTAAGTTTAGGCGGCGAGCTCAGATGCGAGTGCGATGTGTGGGGAAAACAAACGCATCGGTTAGTTCACACCTTGGTGTGATCTCGTCTGGGGCAAACATTGTGCCATTTTACAATGCTTGTGATCACATTCTCAAGAGTGGCTGATCTTTGATGCGATGGGCTGTTCTTTGATCTCAACTTTTATCTCTTGGTTGATCGGCTGTGCCCGCCCGGGTGTTTGTTCCATAAATTATAGTCGGAAATGCCGGCACTTACCCTTTCATTAAGCTTCAAAAGTACTCAAAATGTACTTGAAAAGTACTCAAAATGTACTTGAAAAATATTCAAAAGTACTTTTATAAAAAGTATCGGAGTAGAGTAAAAGTACTGGTTCTCAAAAATGTACCAGAGTACAGTAAAAGTACCGAAAATTGTGATGTAAGTACAAATACCGGAGTACTTGTACTCCGTTACAACCAGCTCTGTATACATATATTATACTAAGTCTTTTTGAACTTTTTAGAGAAATAAATATCTTCATTCAGTTTCTTTTCATTATTTTCATTGAAGCTTTGGAAAACTTTTGTTTTTATTCTTCTGAATTTTTTTTGCAATTTATCTTTTTTTATATGAGTATATTCTACAGCTTGTTATCTATATAGCTGCCATTTTTTCTCTAATTTCTCTCCAGTGGTGAAACATTGTCCAACAGAGAGAACATCATGCAAGGTAAGTGTGACGACTGTCGCTATGATCATGTGTCATGGCAGTCACTCATGTGTTAAAACGGCCACTCTTGTCATGTTTGTTCCTGCTGCCTCTAGTTGGTTTTCTATGGAAGGTCAGATTCATGTGTGTATAAACTAAATAAAAATCAGACAAAGCCTTTAGTGTTATCTTAAGCGGGGATAACATGTTAAAAACAGATTTATAAAATTAACTCTTCGACGCTGGAATTGATTTCCTTGGTTTGACTGAATTGTTTTCTTTTTAATAATTCTACTTGACTACTTTTGCAACATTTGCTTCAACTCAAGACAAAGAACAGACATAAGCATAAAGGCAAAGAGTGTATTTTGTATTCTCTTTGAGAAACTTAATACAAAGTTTTATTGCCAGTCATAGCTACACTGTTAAGATAAGAAACTCCTTCACGGCACACCAGCAGTGGAATTTAAGTTGTAACGGCGGGTTCCCCGCTGAGTGCCTTATCATGCCGGGGTCATGGGGGTCAGCTCCCTGGCGCCGCTCTGTCTGGGCTGACTTAATTTTTGGTACTTTTCAATGTACAGTTTTAGGTGTATCCTTGTATTTATGGTAATTATCATTTATTCATCCAATGCACCCAAAGCACCCGTTTCTGCTCTTGAGACCCAAAAAAGAACAGACGTTGTAACTTGTCTGGTTATTTCGTTAGACGCGCTGAAGTCAGCAATGCTAAAATTATAAACATTTTGGACAAGTGTGAATAGAAAAAAATCAATATAAAATAAATGGCACCGCAAAAACTGTCAAACTTTTGGAACATGAATGATATAACATTGGTGCAGATACTTAGAAAAGATGGTATTCTGCAACTCTATTCATCTGGAACACAATTCGCTATGAAGTAATTCCTCCAAATACAACTTTATGTGTCTAATATAATTGTGAATATTTGCATATTTTCTCTAAAGTTGATCAAAATTACCCTGAAGACTCTCTCTGAAAAAGTACAAACCAATGTAATACACAAACAGTATCTCGTAACACTTCATAAATTCCTTAGCTTTCATTTTTCTTAAAACGCTAAGTCTCGGTTTTGTAAGTTGACTTAATAACAGGGATGACTTCTCATAATTGTGTTATAAGAATTATAATTTCTAGCTTTCCAATGATACTGGATCAGCACCAGACTTCCAGCTTTTATTTTAGTTTGTATGACCATCTACAATGACTGGCAATGTTCTGATTTCTTTACATTCATAAGTGTCTGCGAATATTTCCGACACAAAAACTAAGAATGAATGTGTTAGCTGTCATTATTTTTATTCCATACAAGGAGTTCATCTCTACCTATGTATAAACAGTTTTTTTGTTGTGAAAATGCAGGTGTGCATCTTTCTTTTCTTATAACTTGACTATTACTACTTGCGCAGATTTAAGATTTCTCATGGTAGAAAACATGATATTCGTAGTCAGTTTAACGCTTATTATGGAGAGATCTGTCATGCCGTTTTAAAATAAACAATCATTTATTCTTAAGTACGTAACTAAAATAGGACAAATTGGGTACTCTACAAACACTTGTCTAGAACATAAACTAATTCACAGAAATTAACCATTCTAACGCAGAATAAATCTTAAGACATTGAGATTTTAGAACATCCGCGTAATGGTTTGCTATGTGGAATGGGGAAGAAGTTATAATATTATTTCAAACGTAGACAGAAATGCGAACTTCTTGACCGACACCTGCAAAGTTGCTTAAGGGCTCATTAACCCCGTGACCCGAGTCAGGGAGCTCCGGCGTGCTGCTGAGTCACGCTAACTAAAAGTAACAGAATAGGGCGAAAAAAGTGACGCTGTGCCTTATATTGTTTACTCCTTCTTTATATCGAACATCTATCCTCATATATCATATCTCTCCTCCTTCCTTTCTAAAGTTGCATGCTACTCTCTAGTAACACCTCTAACCTTCAGCTCTTATGTGACCTTATTTTGTTACAAGTGATGTGAAACTCGTACTTAAACTAAAACTAAACAAAACAGGTCAGCTGGACACAGAACTCTCCGACCTTGGCTATGAACAAGCGCGGCTGGTGGCGGCGAAACTCCAGGATGATACGTTCACGAACATGTACTCTAGTGACCTGCGGAGAGCCTCGGAGACGGCCAGGGCCATCGCCTCGGCCAACAGAGTGTCCTCGTGCGAGCTCAAGCTGGACAAGAGGCTGCGGGAACGGGTCAGTCATTTCCTCCTCTCTTATCTGCTAGAATTAATTTTGTGGATTTTCCTCAGCAGGGAGTTCAATAATTAGTTGTTTTTTTCAGGCATTTTCAGAATTTGCGTAAGTTTTAGTATCATCGACAGTTTTGGATTTAGTTCTATCCCATTCTCTTTGCCACACATAATTAATCATCAGCAATGTCATGGAATTAGATGGAGTGAGATGTTGGCTGGAGGATGGATAGAGATATTGTGTTGTTTGATAGAGGTGATGTGGTGATCTTGGATAGAAGTGATGTGGTGATCTTGGATAGAGGTGATGTGGTTATGTTGGGTAGAGTTGATGTTAGACAAAGGTGATATGATGAGGTTGGATAGAGGTGATGTGGTTATATTAGATGGAGGTGATGTTTGATTGAGATGATGTGATGTTTGGCAGAGGAGATGAGGTGATGTTGGATAGAGGTGAAGAGGTGAAGTTGGATATTGGTGATGTTTGATAGAGGTGCTGAGGTGATGACGACTCTCATTTCTATTTGATTTGGTTTTGATCAAATTTTATCATTGAGACAAATGAAGTTGCCTTTTCTTAACTCTCTTTAAAAGCAAAAAAATCATGGCTTGCTTTTTGCTAAAAAACTGAACGCCTGTGTCCATGTTCTGTTTCCATTCATTTCCAGTGTTTTGGCTTCCTGGAGGGTAAACCGTTTCGTGAATTCCAGCGAGTGGTCAGTGAACGAAATGTGTCACCGTCCGAGTTCACTCCAGAGGGAGGGGAGACTGTTGCCCAGGCAGGTGTTTGAGAGAGAGAGAGAGAGAGAGAGAAAGAGAGAGAGAGAGAGAGAGAGAGAGAGAGAGAGAGAGAGAGAGAGAGAGAGAGAGAGAGAGAGAGAGAGAGAGAGAGGGAGAAAGAAAGAGAGAGAGAGAGAGAGAGAGAGAGGGGAGAGAGAGAGAAAGAGAGAGAGAGAGAGAGAGAGAGAGAGAGAGAGAGAGAGAGAGAGAGAGAGAGAGAGAGAGAGGGAGGGGGGAAGGGGGAGACTGTTGCCCAGACAGGTATTTGAGAGAGAGAGAGGGGGAGAAAGAGAGGGGGGAATGTTCACGAAGCGAAGGTGTTTCAGCACATAATATTTATGCCCTTTCTTGTTGTATGTGTGGGTGCACCTGACCTTTGTAATATCCATTGCCATTGTAAACGAACAACACAAATTTCTCCCTAAGAAATGAATAAAGATTGTCACTGTCACTGTGCTGCCCTGTGGGTGGTTGGTGGCTGCTCTGGTGTTTGAACCACATGACAAGGTGAAGAAATCTTGTTTGCTCCAAATGAGCTGGCACCATTCTGTATGCAGTGGCTGTCAGGTTTGTGTGAATAACATTATTGCTATATATATAGATTTATAAATATACATGAGTAACATTACAGATTGTGAAGAGCATAGAGCTTACCGTTGAATGGGAATTTGTGCTATACAATTTGCTATTGTCTATTATTATTATTATTTTACATGGCCAGACAACGGCTGTTTCTCTGTGTGCATCCATGTATGTAAATGTGTGTATGTGTTGATGAGTGTGTGTCTGTATGTATTTACCATACCACAGCAAATTCCCCCTTTTGATGATCAATAAAATCTAACCATATCTTATCTTATATTATCTAATGTTTTCTGAGTTACGTCTAAAATCTTGGCTTTGGATCTTATGAAACAGAAGCTAGTGGGTTCTTGAAGAGCTCTTTTAAAAACGTAGTTGCCATTTAAGCGTCTCTATGGGTGATTGGAGGGTGTCATAGGTAGGTCATTCTTTTTTATCTTCGAATGATTGGAAGGTGCCTATGGTAGTTTCTTCTTCTATTCTGTGCTTGGGTGGCTGGAGGGTGCTACTAATAGTTTTTTTCAACTTTTTGTATCCTTAAGTTGTTTCTGTCTGTCGGTCTATTTTTTTTCCCGCTCATACTACATTACCAGCAATGCGTTGATGTGTTTCTCTCTACTGAAATAAGCAAATTGTTTCTATTTCTGTCGTAGGTGACTCAGCGGGCGAGGAGTTTCTTTAATGACTTGTGCAAACTGATGGTGGATCCTTCTGGTGCCAAGAGAAAAACCTGTACAGGGACAAATGGGCAAACGTCACCAGGGAACTCTCCGTGTTGTGTCACAAAGTCCAGTGACAGTGAAGGTCAAGCGGTGACGAGTAGCTCAGAAGTGATGAAGGACTCGCGGCAGGTGAAGAATGGCGATAGAATTTCACAGTCAGGGATTCCGTCTGATGGTCAAGGAAGTTCCTCCGGGCGGTCCAGTTCTACCACAGCCCTGCAGATCAGCATCCCGGAGTCAGACGGCGCAGGTGTTGCGACAGACAACGGCACGGGGAGCGTCGGTTGTTCAGTACGCCCAGAGGCTAGCGAAGATCCCCAGTCGGGTGTCGCCAACGTTTCTAGTGACGAGTCTCTCCAAGCAGACGGCGACCTTGTCCTGGAAGACGGACACGTGTTGATCGCCAGCCACGGCCTCCTGCTTCGGGAGCTCAAATCCATCATCCTGCAGAGGTTCAAAGGTCAGTTACACGGCAACAACGCGCTGGAGGCCAAACGGATCAGCCCCAACACGGGCGTGTCGCGATTTGTCCTGACTGCCTGCACGGAGGGGCCGAACAAGCTCCACGTGAACTGTGTGGAGGTCTGTGTGATCAACGACACGTCTCACCTCACTGGAGTTGGGGCCAACCTCGTCTCACACGCCAAATTTCAAGGAGCGCTATGATGATAATATTTTACAAATTGTCTCGTCTTTTTTTGTGGCTTTTGATGTGAGTGGTGGTAAAAGCATGAATGCATTTGATAACGTTTTGTATTTTTTACAAGGTGCAAGAATAATGTGTTATCAATATTTCTAGAACATTTGAGTTTATTGACAAAGTTCTATGCAGGTGACTTGTGTGCCATACTTGAACTGAGGAATCCATTTTACTGATTGGTGACGGGCTACTTTTTGGGGGGGCCGTAACTAGACCAAACTGCCAGGCTGTGTTTATAGACATTGTATGAAACAGTTCTTTAAATCAGGCCAGTAGCTCTGCCTTTAGAAATCAGGTGGATACAGACAAAAAGGCAGGCCTATGAAAAGATCGGTTGATGGGGTAAGAGAAATATTAGTCAAAAACAACATAACCACGCAACAGGCGATACAAAAAATGAGAGAAAAACGTTCGCTTCTCCCCTCGACACCATTGGGTAACAAAGGTCAGAAAAAGTTAAGTAAAGTACGTGAGATCTGCATGTATAGTAAAAATGAGAAGACTCTGACGCCTAGCTTCACTTCACTTAACTTTCAAAGAGGCTGTTTGGAAGAAGTTTCTATGAAAAGGTTATGGTTCAGTTCGTTACTATACGGCTGATTCCTCAGATTTGTTGTTGCGAACAGTGGTACTGAATGCCTCTCTGTTTTGTAACCTGAACTCTAGTAAGGAGTGAGTTGAGAAGTACTCGTGTTAGACAAGATCACACAGGTGTCTGCTGTAGCAGTTACGTGCTTTATATCACGTGCAGGAAGACCGATTTTGATTCCCGAGAGGGGTGAGTTTTTATCGATTATCTCTCAGTGTTTTGGTTGGGATGTTGTATCCCTCTCAGCCTGGGTCGGCCCTAATAGGGAGGGTCAGAAGCCTACCTCCTAAATGATCTAAATTGTGTCATGTAAAAACATCTACATTTAAAAAAAAAAGAAGAAAAAAAGCAATTTTTATCGCATTTTCCTCACAGGGTGCCGGCCACCTCAAACCTAGTCCCGTACTTTTACCGCGTAATCTGTCCAGTTGTCTCTGGAACTGGAAAATCTACATGTTATCTACTAAGACTTCAAATCAAAGAAGTAATGCCAATTAAACAAAAAATAATTGCAGACACAATCAGTTTTGTTTGGGCTGGAGTAATCAAGGATTCCAGTATTACTTTGGCCAGATGGAAGTGTTCAGATCAGAATAATTGCTTGATTCTGTCCCTTTAATTTACTTCTTTACTATCACTATCACTAATTGATTCAGAGGAAGCAGAACTTATCTGGCTGAATTGACCCTCCCATGGTTCCACACAAATAGCCCGTAGTCTGTCAGGGGAAACTGTTATATGATTTCGCAGTATTATGTTGGGAAATGTCTTAGAACAGGCAAACCAATCAAGTAAAGGCCAAATACCCGTACATCTTCAGAAAATAGAATGTAAATAGTAAGTACAGCTCATTTGTGAAGGAGTTGGAATGTTTTGTGATTTTAAAAAATGGGAAAAGGGGACTGAATTATTGACTCAAATTTTGGCTGATTAAATTGGCCGCAACTCAAGAGTGTAACGTACAGCTGATTTAATAAGTGGTTGACACAAGGAAGAGATAAGAAAATAGAAATGTCGGGTGTTTTTATAAGTTTGTCTTACCAAAGTGTTCTAAAGTTTGTTGTAATCTGTAAGTTTCTGATGCTGAAGGTCAGAGTGTTCATTGAGATCTGGTGATGTGTTGTGTTGTGTTGTGTACAAAGGCTTGGTCCCTCATGTCTTTCATTGAGCCAGGTGTTATGTGTAAATATATATATAAATACATATATGTGAGGCATCATGGTGAAATCAGGCGCTCCTCAAAATAATGAAATTGAACAAACCGGCATTTTTCCGCTGGTTTTCGCAATTTTTTTATTGAATTTTCGTTTTTTGGCTCATCACCTTTTATGTCCATTTCAAGACACATTTTTGTGTGGATTTTACTGAAAAACGTTGACTAATGAATGGCACTAAAAGGGTAGATTTTTCAGTTTCCGAGGACTCTCAAAATTTGGAAGTCGCCAAACTTTGGCAGCCATTTTCTCGCTAATTTTACCTGTGAAACATTGCGACTCCCTCCTCCTTCAATTGCGAATATCTTGGCTTTTATTCATGATAGATAGGTATCGTTTTCATCAAAAGCAAGGCTAATGAACAGGCTTCAATTGTACAGCCTACTAATAACTTCACATGACCAAAATAATGGTGGGCAATGAGTGTCTTTAGGAAAATCCGGATATCTTTGTGCACCCCATTGGGAAAATCCGGATAAATACCCTATTTTCTTTCTCACCCCATTCGTGAAGTGTGTGCGTGAAATGGGTGTGAATCGCTTTTCGAAACAGTCGGCTACACCTTTTTTTTAAAAATCATACCCTGCTATTTCAACCCCCCATTTACAAACAGTGGCCCATGTCTAAAGTCTGAATTCTCTCAAGTTTACAGATATTTTAATTATTATGCTCGTGAACAGTTACAAAAAAACTGCGTCATCTATTCTTTTCTTCTTTTTAGATGTAGGAGAAAGTGTGTATTGTGACAAAATACACGTGGTAGGTAAATTGATTCATCACTGCTGTACCAGCGACAGTGACAGGCGGGCAGGATGCTTACGTCAAATTATGTCACGTTCCCCGCCTCCCCGCCCCTGCCGTTTTTCCCCTCGCCTCGCCGCCCCTTCCCCCAGACATCCAAGCAAGCCCCTCACGAAGGTGTTGACAGAATTCACAATTCCACGGGGCCCTCCCCGCTTTACACTGTGAGCATGGGATAGGAAAACTGCTGTAATAGCAATTTTATCAATTAAGATTAGTTGGGTTTTTTTGGTGTGTTGGTTTTTTTTTTTCTCTGTTTTTTTTTTTAGGATAGCGGATGTGGGCCTTTTTTTCCACCTCTGTTCTCTTTTTCTTTTCTTTTTCAATCTTTTTCTTCAACAAAGACAAGAAACCAAAGAAGGAGGAAAGGAAAAATAACAACTGAGGTAGGCTCTAACTGAATATAACAAAAACACATTTTCAGAATAACAGTTCTTTTTCTCTGGATTAGCAGATGGCTATATATATATCTGATGTGCCCCTTACCTCCCCCACATCGTCAATGGGCTTGGAGAGACACATCTGGTGGTTGATCCGTCTTACATCTTTTTATTTAAAAAAAGGACCATGTTTACGGTGGAAGCTTTCTAACAGCTTCTGGCCGAGACGAGTTCTCCTGCCTTAGAAAACAGTCTCTCCGAGGGAACTGACGTAGCTGGAATGTGCAGGAACTGTCGGGCAAGAGTGCTCAGCCTTGGGAAATTGGAGCAGTTTTCTTTCCACCACTGCACTGGATCCTCCATCAGGGAGAGAAATTCCGATTCATGGTATCTCCTCATCTCCACGTAGGGTCCTGTTAAACCAGGAGATGCTATCTTTTTCTTCAGCTACTCAACCTTCACATATGTGTCCCACTGCGATTTTTTCTGTGCAGGTGAGCAATCGTTCGTTATCTCTTGTGATGCTTCTGTAGTCGATGTCTGCTGTGGTTCAGATCTCTACATCATGGATACCAGGCGATCTTCTACATTTTTGGCTGACTCTGGTCACAAAATGGCAGCCTTCTAAATCATGGGTGTAGCAGTGTGGCTGCTCCGAGGGTGAAGTTATCCTCCAGACTGCCAAATCGTCTGCGGAGTTCAGCCTGCAACTGATCTCTTAGTGCTGATGGAGATTCTCCTGACAGCTTTTCTTGTATCTGTCTCACGATCGGGAGCAGCTTTGATACGGAAGTGTGCTTCTCTGTAGAGGCTTCCTTTGTGGCTAGTTCAAACGGTGTTAACACCTCGATGGCAGCTCTGATTCTTTCCACTTCTTCATCGGTCAAAGACTTTATTGTTTTGCTCAGTGCCCGGAGGGCCCCGGTGACAGCAGTGTGTTCCTCTTCATATCTTCTGAGCATGTGCAGGGTGGAATTCCATCTCGTCTCAACATCTTGAATTAGCTTTCCCTGCTGCCTGCCCAAGTTGGTGGCGTCGGTAGCCTAGTGGTTAGGTTACCGGACTCGTTATCATGAGATTGCAGGACTGGGGGTTCGAGCCTTAGCTCGGTCCGACGTTGTGTCCTTGAGAAAGGCACTTTACACGAACTTCCCACTTGGCTCGGTCCTATCGGAGACGGACGTTTAATTAGGAGGTCCCGCCTCGTGTTGATAGGGGCGTTAAACTCATACCATTTCTCCATTTTTTTCTGCCCAAGTTCAGCTGGAAGCACAGTAGTTTTTCTGTGGCCTTCACACTGTGGTGGTAAAAACTCACCACTGACTTGACTTTTGCTATGAGTTCCACGAGCTCACAGCTGTTCTTCAGGGCATCTCTCACTATCAAGTTCAATTTGTGGGCATAACATCTCACGTGGTGCTTTTTCAAATGATCTTCCATCTTTGAAACCTCGTTGGCGCGTTGTCTGTGACATTAGATGAAATCTTGTTTTCGATTCCCCAGTGATGGAAAATGTCTGTCAATACTTTCGCAATGTTGGCAGCTGTGTGGTCGACGGTGACTCTTTGCGTTGTTAGTAGCCTACTGCTGACTGAAGATCCTAAGAAGGTAGACGAAGGAAATAGTGTGCAGTTAAAGGGATGTAGAACTCTGTTTGGCGTGAAGTCCACAAATCAGTTGTGATGGCAACGTGAGTGACATTTTCCAGGGATACTTTCAGCTTCTCTTCCTCAGCTTGGAACTTTCCTGGCAGCAGATCCCGAGACAGTGTTCGCCGACTTGGTACATGTAGTTCGTACCTGGGGTCAAAACCTTTTAACAAAACCTCTAAAACCACGGTCCTCGACACTGGAGAATGGCTGCAAGTCTCTTGTGATCATTTCAAGAAGCAAATCATCAAAGGCCTTCTTCTTAATGGAATCTGCTCCATATTTCGAGACATTTGAAATGGTGGTAAAAACTGTGAGCTGGGTCATAGATCCTAGCCTTCTCGGTGTTTCCTTCATGACGGATTCATCATTCTTCTCCAGGGGTTTCGGTCCCATCATTGACAAGTGCTTCACTTGAAGGTGCCTCCTTAGATTTGATGTCGATCCCGTGGTATGATTGAATATGCACTGGCAGAAATCGCAGGTGACAGTCGTTGGAGACGTTTTTGTCATGAAGTTCCAATGTCAGACGCATTTTTTCTACATGTCTCCTAACTGATAGTGAAGTATCAAATAAAATTGAATAAAGCAGACAATGCAGTTAAGTGTATCAGACAACAGTAGCAATTCACAGTACAGTTCAACAGAACACTGATGTAATAAATGAACACAAATTACATAAAGCAGAGGACATAATTTCTTTGATCAAATCTGGAAAAAGCGATCCAAGGCATGTGATTTTCCGACAAATATAAGACTGGAAAAATCAAACGATAATATCAATAAAGTCAGCAAAGAGTGTGACACAAGTTTGCAATAAGAATGAAAGGGAACAAAAAGAGCAGACTGGTGATCAGGTGGAGAGACAATAAGATCCGCGAAAAAGCAGTCGAAGAGAGAAGAGCAAGTGAGAAAGACTGAGGAGTGTGAAGCTCTTTATTCTTCATTGAAAATACCCCCCCCCCCGTTTTTCTCCCCTCTGCCCCCCTCCCAAAACCCCCCCCCAAAAACAACCAACAAACAACCCCTCATAGGCCTATGCACACATTAAAGGCGGTTGTCAAAAGTCTACGGAAAAAGAGAAAACGTAACAAAAGGTTACAAAAGTAAAACAAAGACAAAGTGATCTGTAGGCCCCCGACACGCAACATAATTTCACGTTCAAACCCGTAAGCTGCAGACATCACAAGTACCGACAATCCGACAGGACAGTCCGAGTGTTCTCCCCCCCCCCCTCCCCCCGACACGTCGTGATTAATTACATCACTGTCATCCGCTTAGCCCGATAAAAGACGAATAATAATAATAATAATAATAATAATACTATTAGATCAGGGGGAATAACTTCTCCCAATGACCCACAAAGAAAGAGGTCAACTAACAAAAACTTATCCGACAACAATGTCTGCCAGCTGAAGCCACAAGGAAAACAACTTTTTCCAAAGGTCTAAAACTGAAAAAGGATAGACAACAAGAAAATGGTTCTTAAAATACGGGTAAAAAAACTACGCTTTTGTAAACGGGTTATGATCGTCTTTGACAGACGGATCATAAAAGAGAGTTTGATCCTCTTCGGCAAATGGGTTACAAATCTCTTCGACAAACGGGTTAGGAAAGAGGGTAAAGGATTCTGAATCCGGATAATGATTCTTTAAGAATTATCCGATTATTCGTATATTCTATCCGGATTTGGCCCACCACTAGCCCAAAACTGACGAGCGCCTGATTCTATCATATTGACTTCTCAGTGTAAGACTCCGTCATATGACAATTTCCCAAACGGCAAATCACCAAGTAGTCGATATTTGATATACAGCAAGAGTGTGTTCTTGGACTTGTGTATGATTGTGTGAAGTGAGGCTTACCCCCCCCCCCCCCCCCCCCAGTATTTTTTTTTGTTTGTGTTTTTTCTTTGAATGGATTGACTTTGGTCACCCGTACGTTTAAGGGTGGCAGAGAACTCTCTAGAGATTATGATGTGTATATGTTTATCTAAGTGACGCAATGTGAAAAATCTGTACATGTTTTAAAGTTACGTTTTAGAATTATTAATTGGAATTAATTTTTCTAATCTTTGATGAAAAAATGAACTCTTACCAGTCGTAAGCTTTGCCGCAACAAGTTTAATTTGATATAAGTGTTGTGTACCTGTTAACTTTTTCTGCTGGAAAAAGAAAAGTTTCAAGTTACAAAATTTTAAGAAATGAAGAAAAACTTGCCCTATAAGGACACGGTTGTAGTACAGGTAAGCAGAATATATGTATGATAAATGAGGAAAACAAGAAGAAAAAAAAGAAAGAAATGAAGCATCTAGGCAGTAGATGTGCCAACCTAGTTTTGTCCTGTAAGACCTGTCATGTTTGAACTCATAAAGAACTGGCATCTGTGGTGTAGTGGCTAAGCGCTTGACCGTCGCTTGCAGGAGACTCAAGTTCTGTTCCAGAGAGGAGGCAATTTTATACGAGTATCTTGGTCCATCTCCTGGAAAGTTGTATCCCTCTCAGCTTGGGTAGGCCCTAAATGGTCTAAGATTGTGTCAATGGAGGCGTAAAAACGTACATTGTACATTCAGAGATTAAACCTGAGCAAAACCAAGCCAAAAAACCCAAAGAGAATAAAAAGTAGGAGCAATGATCCAACTCAGAAGTCTCAGTCTCAACAGAATGTGTAATCCCCGGTAAGATAGTCATTTACGCGTAATATATATAAATATAAATATATATATATATATATATATATATATATATATATATATATATATATATTATGTGTGTAGTACATGAACTCCCAGTTCTTTTCATGTTGGATACCGTTGCCCTTGTGATAAGACCAGCTAACCCACCAAATATATACAGTCAAACCTGTTCTTATTGCCACCTGTGTAAGACAATCACTCGTACAAACGGTCACTTGCCATATCCTTGCTTTTATGTATTTTTTTACATTATAATGACACTGTAAGACCGCTACCTGCCTAAAACGGTCACTTTTCTCCTTGACAATGGATGGCTCTCCTAGACAGTTTTGACTATTTTTTTTCAGTTTGACTAACTGATGGTGAATTATTAATTTCACATGCTCTGTCAAAGACAGGTGTGAATTTTTACCAGAAATGTTCCTATTTAAACATCAGAAATAAAGCTGAACCACCCATCGGCCGAAAAGTTGCTGCGTGGTGAAACCAAATGTTTTTTGCTTCTTCTGCAAAATGAAGCACGCGAAGATAAGCCGGTCTTATCACAAAGCTGACGGAATGGGTGGGTGGTGCTTGTTCTAGCTTGGTTTGCCCCTTCTTTTCTTTCAACTATCTGTTGTCCTTATCTCTCCTTTTTTTGGGTTTTTGTTACTCTCTTGTAACACCTCTTTATCTTTCAGCACTTAAATGACCTTTTTGTGTCGCAAGTGCCGTGAAACTCCTATTTTAACTTTAAAAAAGGGGACGGTGTTGAGTACATGTATTGTGTTTTATGTAGGCCTGAGGTTCCGGAGAGGCTTGTAAGACCTTTTGAGGATCCAGAAATGTCCAGATTTTTGTAGATGTGTGAGCGAGGCGGAACTGATTAGTCCACATGTCTACATATGTACTTTGTCATGTTGTCTTTGGCTGACCCAGCTGGCGTTTGAATTAAAAAGTCCCAGTATTCGCACAACTGGGTCAAATAGACTTTCTGTTTTTATCTGATTTAAGTAGGAAAATAGCCACTTCTTTCTGTCTTTTTAAAATTCGGTGTTTCTTTTTTCTTTCTTTTGGGAAGTGTTTTATGGCGCTCTCAACTGTATAAGGTTATATGAGCGCTCGGGACACACCTAATATTTTCAGTTTGTAGGAAATTTTGAATTTTGCCCGGGTGGTGGCCGAATCGTACTCTTATCGATTTTAGACCACCAAGGGATCTTTAACGTGCGCAACTGGCACATGGGCCCTCCGAGATTTTTCGTCCTTGTACGAGAAGGCTAGGTGTAGATCTTTCCCGCCAGAAGATCAGGGGTTTTACCGGAAAGACAGCAGTAAGAAGGAGCCAAGGAGTAGCAGTAGAAAGGCTGCAGAAGGAGTCAGGAACCCAGAGGAGGGGGCAAAGGAGGTGAGGGGGTAGGGGCAGAAAGAGGAGACGAAAGTAGACGACAGAACATTTCTTGAGAGCTGGAAAGACGGTGAAAGGAGATAATTTTAGAGAAGATAATGTTTCGGTCGCTACCCGGATTCGAACCCGGGACCTTTGAACGAGAGGCCAACACCTTAACCTCTAGGCCACGGGAGCTCCGTAAATTCGGTGTTTAAGTGAAAATAGTGACTTTTTTCCTTTTAAAAATAAAGTTGAATTCAGTGAAAATATCCTCTTCTCTCTGTGACTGTCATTTTAAAAATTCGATTTATCTGAAAATAGCCACCTTTTGCTGTCTTAGTTTGGTATTTTTTGTCATCTTAAAATTTAAGAAATTCAGTTGGACACGGGTATTCTCAAACACGTTCGGGATTGACACAAGTGTTCGACACATTCACTATTTGAGTTAACCAATTGTGAAAAAATAAAGAGATGTCAGTAGGAGATGGTAGATTACATGAGTTATCTGTGATTTCGAGTTTTTCTTGTTTTTATTATTTGTAATCTGTGCCCAGCTGCACAGTCCAAACTGTTCTGGATAGCCATCCTTTGTTGAGAGGAAAAGTGGTTTTCTTAGACAAACTTAAGTGAGAAACTTGGACAGTGTCATTGTAATATTACAGAGATGCTGGGGTGGGGGTAGGGATGTTCGTTTGTAGAGTTGTTTTTCTTACTAGTCTTTGACAGGTGGTCATTCGAGCAAATTGGACTGTGGGCAAACATAGTTGAGATTCGTCAACTAGAACAGAAGCTACGGCGTAACGTGGGTGGCTGGCGCGTGCTCTGTTGTGGTTTGCTCCTTATTTTCTATTAATTTATTAAATATCTATCGCCCTTATCTCTCCTCCTCCTTTTTTGTAAATTGTATGTTGTTACTCTTTAATAACGTCTCTAATCTTCGGCTCTTATATGATTGTATTGCAAGTGCCGTAAAACTTTGAACAAAACAATACAGATTAACAACTAGTTTCCCCAAATTCCTTCAACAAAGGATGTTTGATACATGTATGTATTAGGGTGTTGGTTGTTACAGTAGCGTGGTTCCTTGTTGTGATCACTGGGACCGAAATATGGGGTACGGGGTGGGGGTGGGGGGTTGACAAGGTTTGTGTGTTTAACGCACTGGCTCTGGTTGTGGTAGACTGTCTGTCTGTCTGTCTGTCTGTTTGTCTGTCTGTCTGTCTATCTGTCTGTCTGTCTGTCTGTCAGTCAGTCTGTCTGTCTTTTCCGTACACGCACGCACGCACGCACGCACGCAAACACACACACACATACACACACACCGAGTCTCTCTCTCTCTCTCTCTCTCTCTCTCTCTCTCTCTCTCTCTCTCTCTCTC